ATTTGTCCAATAACAGGAGCTGCAGAAGTGGATGGAGAGATCTGTCACAGTTCTAACAAGAAATGAGTTCAGCCAATTTCCACCAAGTTCCCAGAACCTGTGCATACAGACGTGGGCCTTTTCTCAAGGACTTTACACTGTATTAGGGCAACAGTGTTTCCCTACCATTTCAGTTAATTTCCACATAGCAGAATGAAGCTGGCTGCACCCCACTAGAGCGGTGGCAGCATTTTCCTACAGACACACTCAAAAGAAGTGAGCAAGGGCCATTTATAGGGCAACATCCCCAAGTCCTACAGGCGGGCAGGGCAGGCTGCAGGGCAGCTTCCACACTTCTCCTAGTGCACTAGGGTGTCCGTCTCTTCATGAAACTTAAATGCTGGCTTGCTTGAAGGCCACACATCACGACGGCGGACTATGCACCTTGCAACTTAGTGATTTGCAGCTTAAAAAATGACTTATTTATAAATATAGTCTTTCCTGGAAAGGATAGTATTGTCCTGAGTCTTCCAACAAAATTAAACTGCAAACCACAGACTATTGAAGTCACTGCAGAAATTTTAATTATATACTAAATAACTACTGCTCACTCCAGCAAGCATTACAGTAACCTGTTGAGAACAAGAAATATTTCTTTGGGAGTTTTTGGAAGACAGCACAGTTTAGCTGAAATTAGTGTTTCCCTGAGTTTTTTTTTTTTTTTAAAGAAAACCTTCTTTTAACAACCTCTGCACATCTCAAATGCCATCATCACTCAAATAATTCACAGAAACCGCTTGGCTCCTGGCCTCAGGCCACTAGACGGGGCCCATTTCCAACAATCTATGGCAACGGCAGTTGTGATCACGACTATCCCAGTTGATTTTGCTTCCTTCCCTCTTACAAATATGTCATTCACATGTTTATACTACTAGTCAAAATGTGAGCATCTTAATACCCTCACTACTTTTCATCTAACCAGAAAATCAATTACCTCTGGTCATTGGTGGTTATGGGTATATTTTTTGAAAGTCTGCCAATAAGAAACTGGAAATAAGAGAGTAGACCAACTGATATTCTCTCTTAAAGTTAACAGCTTTTTCCTTAACTAACCTACCCAACACATCTCCCACGTACAAAGAATACAGAGTGCCGTAATAAGCCGTTGGGTCTCTTGAGGAGTTTGCACTTCAGCAGTAGCTTTAGAAAAATTACTTGCTCTGGCTTTGTAAAAAACACAATAGAGTTCCTCCGATCCCAAACCTGTGCTACCAGCTGGGCGTAGAAAAAAGCAGCCACCGAGGATACCCAGCTGACATCCTTTTCCTCCTCACTGTCGCTTTCCCACCCCCCAGGATTTCTGCCCAGGTTGCTCAACATCTGATCCTAGTCATAAACTGGTAATTAGGGTCTATCATCAAGCTTTAACACGAAGTTGCTTTGGGTGGTGGTAAATCTTTGAAGTTCAAGTGCACAAAGTGACTGTATCAATGGGTAACGGTCAAGGGCAGAAAAAGAGCAGAATTCTACTGGGAGTTGGTAAAACCACTCACTGTGGCTCTGGGGTCTGCCCATCTTAGCGCCTTATACTCCTCCAAACTTGTTCTCATATGTTGAATGTAGTTTTTCTTGAAAGCACCAGGCCATTTGGCCATGATCAATGGCCCACCATAAATGCCGGTTGGCGTGGTCAAAGGGTGTGACGGTGAGCTACATAAGAGGTGGGGGAGGGAGTAGCTGCAAAACGACAGGGGGCCCACTGGGGCAGGGCCAGGGGCAGGGACGCATGGGCAGGGGGATCCTGGGGAGATGGGGGAAGAAGGCAAAGTCTAGATGGTTACAGTAAAGCTGTGTGTAACCTATTCAGGGATGAAGCAGAGCCCTTAACTACTCCCTGAGTAGAATTTCTCATGTGCCCAAGAGGACACTGGATTTCCAAGTACACCTGGACACAGCTGTGGTTCAGTGGGGTCAGCCTGATGGATCCCCAGCACGCACCCCCAGTGCACTCATGAACCAGACCCTGCGCGTGACGAGCTGCAATCTGAGAATCGTAAAAAGTTGACAGGAACCTTTGAAGATCAATCAAGACCGGTCAGCTGGCCTGAATGATCAGTACTGGGCCAAGGTGTTCTTCTCCACCCAGAGAGCCCTGAGCATGTCCAGATGTCCAGTCAGTCTAGAGGATAATGAAGGATCCAGCTTTAGAGTTGGACCAGCTGGCTTCAAATCCAGGCTCTAGATTTAACAACAATGGCTAACTCTCTGTGATTCAATTTCTGTATCTGTGACTGGAAGATAGTAACAGCACCTATCGCATAGGCCTGATGGGAGAAGATGATGGGATCACAGTTAAGGAGCTTAGAACAGTGGCTGTCACAAGATTAACACTGAGTAAATACGAGCTACCTCTACTACATTCAGTTCCTAAACTGCAATGACAATACCACCGCTACTACTATTTGGCTGGACCCCAGTTATGGGCCTCCAAACATCCCTATGAGGTAGGTAGATTATCTTCATTTTAGTATTACCTTCCTTTCTATTGAAAAATGTAAGTTTAGAAGGATTCAGAAACTCACCTAAACTTAACCAGTTAAGTGGCACAGCAATTAAAGCTAATGTCCCAACAAAGTTTGCGGTATGTCACCAAACTCCAAAAGCTTAAAAGTATTTTAAAATAATGTGTCAATATTCTAAAGTCACTACTTATTGAATGGAATTATGCTCTTGTAAAAGCCCCAGCTTTCCCCAACTAAATCTCCCTACTTATCTATTCAACCACAAATTCTGATAGACAGTCAAAAACATAAGATTATTTTTTCTTAACATAAATAAGACTGGGTAAATCATCATGTCTATTTTAATTAAATGACTTACTAAGTTCTAAAGTACTGCATACCAGTTTATCAAGTCACTTTTCTTTCAGGATTTGTAATTCGATCCTGTAGAAGGAAGGGCACACTCCAATTGGCCTGTGTAACATCTCTCTTCCCATATGTTCCCAAGTGTGTAACAGAATTGACTAGTTAATAGTTACCCCAAACATCCCCTCCCACCGTATCTTAACTCTACGTAGCAAGACTTTTCCAGTCACTTCACTGCCCTCAAAAAAAAAATCACAAAGTTAGACTAAGTATGTCAATATTGACTCTGATCTTAAAATTCATATTGAGATCCAGAAATATTTATAACCAGTCAAGTGTATACTTCCAAGAGCTTCAAGGAACACTGGAATTATAACATGTTGTCTTAGTCAAAACTGTCCACATCAAATGAACTGGTTACCCAGTTTCCTGAAAACAGAGTTCACAATCGTTACCCCATTAACAGTTTAAAATAAAAGGCATGCTTAACTTGTTTAAGAAGTAGTGATAGGGATAAGCCAAGCCATATAACTTTACATCACTTTCTATTTGCTTTACCCAGGCATTACATATTCTTGTAATCCTTGTTGATAAACACAACCAAGAGACAATAAAATCAACCATGTAAACAGACACAGCAGAAGAGAACCTAAAATGACCAAATATTTCAAGAGTTCATTGCAATTTTAATAACCTGAAACACCAAGTATCAGAAAGCAGAATTACCGTAAACTGTAAAAGTCAAACATTTATACAGGTGCCTTAAAAGTCACTGCTGGGTGTATACCGTCATCATTGACATTTACTATCTGTTAAGTAGTTTCAAAGTGCAATGGCCTAAGTCAAATAACTGGCTTGGAGCGTGAAGTTTAGGACAACAACTAGTTTGTCTAGAGAGATTGAAGGTGCAATGCTTGTCACAACTTTTATCAGGCCAGCAACAGGCAGACAGGCGGTGGCAGAACGGAACCTCTCAGCACAGGTGCATTTTGTCATTGCAAGAGGAAAACCTAAACCAGACCTTCATGGATAATTGAATAAGGGTTGTTCCATAAATGTATAATGTCATTTATGACTTTCTTATAATTGTTCTTTAACAGCTTTCCAAACCAATATTCTTAGGAGAAAAGCAGCTGAGAATATCAAGTATGAAACTATTTCAGCTTCAAATGGAGAAAAGGGGAATGTTTAATAGAAGCAGCACCTAAAAGGTTACAACCCCCTAATATACAATTAGGACTGTCTCCTACTCTTCTTTTTCTTATCCTATAATACTAACTGTGAGAAATTTTCCTTCTGAGGGTAAAAAAGAAAGATGGCCCAGAGGAACAACATTTGTAAACATTCAGCTAAACTGCAGCTCCTGAACTCGGATGATCATTTCGCCACGCTTCTCCTCTTCAGCCCAGAGCGGGACTAAAAAGTGAGTGTTGAAAACTACAAGAAATCACACTGAGCTCCAGTCCGTGTTCCTGAATAACCAAGGTTCAGTTTCAATGTTCTTTTCACCACTTGCTTGGGAACAGAACCTGCCTTTTCAAGGTCTGGGAAACAGTTCGAGTTTCCAGGTGAAGACTAGCAGGAGGCAGTAAAACCCCAAACAAGCGTTTCCACACTCTGAGGGGCAGAGCCGACCACACCCACCACCAGGGCTCCGGAGGAAGGGTACCTGGGACCCCGACCGGCGGCGCCCCGTCCAGAGTGCAGTCAGGCGGGAGCCCGGGGCCGCCGCAGGAACGCCACAGGTGCCCGGGTCCCCACCTTGCTCCGAGCCCGTGTCCGCCTTCACCCGCGCCAGGGGCCCAAGCTGCCGTCCAGCCTCAGTGTGCCCACTGTAGGCGGGGGCCCCGGAGGGCGCTCAGGCGGCCAGTCTGGGTCCGCTAACCGGACCCGGGGTGGGACGCCAGCTCCCCTTCCCTGGTCCCGGGGGGCGGCGGGAGGCGGGTGCGCGAAGGGGCCCTGGAAGGGGCGCCCCGCCGGCTGAAGCAGCCCGGCTGGGGCGGACCGTCCCGCGCCTCCTTCCCGGGACCCCTCCCGGTACCCCGGGCGGCGACGCCCCACGCCCCCGGGCCACGGGCGCTGCCGCTCGGCCGGGTCTCCCGGACAACAGCCGCCGCCGCGCTTCCGCGGCGGGGCCCGCGGCCCGTCGCCCACCTGTCCCGGGGGTCGATCCAGCTGGTCCTCCTGGTGTTGTGGTCGATGTAGAAGACCTTGCCGTCGTAGTCCCTGGCCTCCTCCCAGCCCCGGGGTAGCGGCAGCTGCCCGCTCCCGGCCCTCCTAGGCATGGTCGGCGGCCTCGCCGGCGAGCGGCGCCTCCATAGGGACCGGGCGCGGGACGCGGCGGGAACGCGGCCGTCCGGCCCGGCCGCTGCAGCCGACGCGGGCGCCGGCGAGGGGCTGTGGGCGCGGGGCGCGGCGGGGCACGCGCGGGGGGCGCCTCAGGAAGCCCAGCTCTCGGCCCCGCCGGAGATCAGTCCACCATGTCTGCGCCGGGGCGGGCGGACGATCCCTCCTCCTCCTCGCGGCCGCCGCCGCTGCCTCCGCCTCTTCCTCCTTCTCCTCCTCCGCCTCCCCGTCCCCCTGTGGCCGCCGAGGGTCGCGGCGCCCAGGCTGTCCGAGCCGCCGCCGTCTGGGCTCGGATCCGGGAAGCTCGGCGGAGCGGCGGCGGCGGCGGGCCTCCTCATTTGCATTCGTTAGCATGCGCCCCGCCCCGGCCCGCCCGGCGCCCCGCCCCGCGCGCGGCTCATCTGCATGCACATTCCTCGCCGCCACATTCCAGGGCTTAACCCTGCCGCTGCCGGGCGGCGGCGCGAGCCGGGGCGCCGGCCGGGGCGGGGCGGAGAGCCGGGCCCGGGTGGGAGGACGCGCGCGGGAATGCGCCGCCCCCAGATGTCTCCCTACGGGGGCGCCTCGGCGTTTCAGAGTCTGGGGTCGGGAGGGACAGCTACGAGAAGTCTGCGTACCCTTCTCAGCCTCCTTCCGACTTCTAGAGAAACCACAAGGCTTTCGAGAGGAAAAGGGTTGGGGGTGCTCCCTTCGGAGGAAAAAGTCCCAGCGAGCAAACAGAGCGGCACAAAGGCCCCCCACGCCGCGCCCTGCGTGCCTTCGGAGCGGCGGGAGCGCGTGAAAAGCCCCGTAAGCGCGGGGGAGCGCGTCCGCGGGGGCGTCGCCCCGGTGCCTCTGCAGGGCGCCGGACCCTGTGACCTCAGCCCCGAGGCCGCAGGCCTCTCGGCGGAAAGCGAGGGCGGATCCCGTGGCCCGGGAGCCGCGACACGCCTGCCCGGTGGCCCGCGGGGGGAAACGCCGGCGCGACCCTGAGACGCGCCCGGGCCTCCCCGCCGGGTCGGGGCGCTCCCCCCGCGGGGCCCCGCCGCCGCCGCCGCCGGCCAGGCTGGGCAGCTGGACGCGGACGCGTCCCGTAACCCGTGCCTTCCGCCAGCCCCCGCCGCGGAAGTCCGCACCCCAGGCCCGCTGTGGCCTGGAAGGTGTGGGCGGCCACGACGCAGGGAGCACACGGCTGCCCCGAGGCCAGGCTTTCCTAGGCCCGGGATGCGTCAGACGGAGCGCGCATCTTCTCTCACACCACAAGCGTTTATTTATTCAGCAGCTACGACGTACTGGTCCGCACTGAGCAGGGCCGGACGCCCGGCTCAGGTTAGAGCAGTGTGGGCATCAGCAGGGCCGGGGCCCGGAGCATTCAATGCCCCAGCCCCTCGGTCTGGGAAGGAGCCTCCCAGACCCAAAACTCCTCTGCAGCCAAGTCCACGCCGCCATCTCCCATTCACATTCTTCCAGATTACTAAGCAGCTTCTTTTGCTGCACCGGAGGAAGGCCCCAGAGCTCAGCCATCCTCCTCTTGGTGTGAATTGGCGTAAGCCTACCAGATCATGTGCAGTGGCTTTCCCACCATGTGCAGGGTACAGAGTTGGAGAGGGGCTTTCACGGGCGATGGAGCCCCTTGACGCCTCCCTAACTAGATTCACAGCCCCTTAAGGGAGTCAGATGAATTGAGATTCACTGGGCAGCGGAGCCAGCGCTGCGCAATTAAGGTAGATCTGCCCCCGGGGGATTGTCGACGGCTTCGCGTGCCCAGCGCATCTGGCAGTCAACGTCAAATGTGGAGGAGGGTGACCCTGGAGAGCGTGGACAGAGCTTCACCGCGGCTCTGGACTTGGCTTCCCAGCCTAGGGTCTTTAAAGGGGTTATATTTGCACTTGGAGCAGCCTGGTTGGGGAGCAGAAACTTTAAACCTGTAGAAAACTCCAGAGAACTTAGATCCTGAGAAGCAGCAGCCTCTTGGGCGGGAGCAGGAGGCGGGGAAGGGAATCACCGAAGATGAATGACTCACCTTATCCTTCTAGGTCTCCCTCTTTTACACCCAGGAAACTGGGCTTTGCCTCAGTAAAGAAAAGCGCCTACCTCCTGGCACAGCGCTCAGTCCCCACTCCATCAAGAAGTGACCACACAAGGCAAGCTTCTCTACTTCCTGGTGAGATGTGACATCCTGGCGGGTAATCTTAAGGTTGGATTTCCGAATGCTGTGCAAAAGATGAGAACCGTCTAAAGTTGCTCTTTCAAGTACTAAGTGAATGTGTTTTGTTTTGGACTGCTCTAAATTGGCCCACTTTGCATGGTCAAAATTTGTGTTTTCATAACATCATTCAGCAACCCAGCCAAACTATTCTTGCTTAAACCTTGTTCCCTGGCTTCCCTCCTCACCCCCCTCCAAATTAGAAAACATTATTATATTAACATGTCTGCATCCTACTATTAAAGAAAACAAAGTAACACACCTTACTGTTGCCGCAATTTAATTTCTTTCATTGGGATGAACTATTGCACAATACTTCTCGGTGTAATTCTGAATTAGACAAACTTTCAGAATAAATTTTTTTACCCATCTCTAAAACCAATGAGGAACCCAAAATAGCACACAGTGGTAAATGGCATTTATTGTTCCATAAATCTTGAAACTTCAAAAAGGGACGCTAAAGAGATAAACAAAACTCTAAAGCAATTAAGAGACAAACTCACTTCTCTCCCACTGGTTGGCGCAGGAAACATTTGGTCACACAAAAGCAGTTAAAATGACAGAAAAGAAAGTCACTGCTCTACAAGCTTTTTTGTCTTGATTAAGTTTGAACTCTGCTTTGGAGTTCCTACTGTGTACAGGATACTGTTCCTTCCAAGAGTTCTTCTAACAGTTAAGACAAGGAATTTTTCATTTCATTTATATTCACATCTGTAAAAATAAAATAGTTATAAAGTTTACCCCTATTTCATAGATGGATATGATTAGATTTCATTTGGCTCCAGTTGATCATTGGCAAAGTTGATCATTGGCATCTGCCATCTGGGACACCAGATTACCCCAGCCTAAACAAGAATACACTAGCCACTGAGGAGGCTGTCTTCTGGCCCTTTATTCCCCTTTCTCCTAGCTTGACATTTTATCTGGTCCTAACAGTCTATCGGGTAAGCCATCATTAAGCAAAGCTCCCGCTGTCAATGTCCAAATCTTGGGTGGCAGGAAAATCAGTGATATCAAAAATGGGAGTTGAGAGGGAAAGTTATTTCAAAAGGTAATTAGTCATACCTATCCAAATTTAGAATATACATATATATGTTTAATCCAGTAATCCCACTGCTATATTTTACCTATGGATATTAAAGTTCCCCAAGATATGAGTGTTCACGGCAGCGTGTTTGGTAATAACTGGAGAAACCCCCAGTGTCTATCAGTAAGAGATGGACGAAGTGAATTGTGGTACATCCATACCCAGCAGGCGTTTCAAAGCATTAGATGAATATATATGTGCTGATAAGAAAGGATGTCCAGGATATATTAAGTGAAAAAAGCTAAGAGCGAAAAGACGCTTGCTAATCTCACTGGAGATGGGGCCAATCATGAAATGTAAATAACAATATGGTCTCCTATACACTTCCTTACATCAAAGGATGAAGGCAGCAAAGTTATGGACTTTTTAGAGAGAATGGGGCTGTTAGGGAGGCCCCATCAAAGAAGTATACATGAGGAAAATGATCATTCAAGAAAAGGGATGGGGTAGAGATGAGTACAAACATCACACCAGAATGGACAGGCGTGGCAGGGCATGCATGTGGAAAGAAATGGATGTACAAAGCTCAAAGATGGAACTGGCCCAAAAAAGCTCAAGACCTGCTGGAGCCATCTAGTTAGGAGGCTGGTGCTCTAGTATAGGTACAAGAGAGATAAAGGTCTGGATTCGAATTAAGGCAAGGGGGCATGAAAAAGAACGATCTGGCAAGAATTTGCTACTGATTAGATTAAGAAGGGAACAGTGAATACACTGGGCATCTGGTATGATTCCAAAATTTTAGCCATCATGAGAGATTCAAATAGCTGAAATAATGAGGAAGTCCAAAGGGGGATCTGATAAGGGGGTTGATTTTAGAAATTAGAGATACCCAGCAGAAAGTCAAAGGTCAGGACTCCAACTCAAACAAAAGGTCACAACTTCAAATACATGGCTGGATGTCTGTAAAGCATTGAGAAGTCAGGAACGAATCTTGGAAAGGAAACACCGTTGCAAGCAAATAGATTAAAGTAACCCATGTATAATCCTATTTTTGGCAGATAACTCTTCAGTAATTTGATATGATTTAGTTTATTTCTTTGTAAAATATGGTCTCCATTCTCAGGGATGTGTGTAAGAATTAGTTACTAGTGGGTAAACCATCTCTGAATGAGTTATTGTTATAACCTTTATCACGATGCCAGTAAATCAACTCATGTAGGACAAGATGAACTGGTTTTCAATATTTTAATATCCCCTGTTTCCTCAAGGAGTTGGGGGATTATATAAACTGGAACTTCTAAAGAGAATGTTTATTTTTTTCCGAAATCAAACCAGCAGGTTTTCGTTTGTTTTTGCTCTTCTGCAGCTGAATGGGTTAAAATAACACCTCTAATTATTGTGAATAGGTAACTCTAATCCCCGATTCCTAAATTTTGTCTAGACAGTCCATAAGAAGACAGGATTTGATCTTTAATAATTCCCAGTACTGGGCCAAACCAGAACCCTCGATTACCATAACCACTTCCCCTCCAGTTAATGATTATACCAACACCTTAGGCAACAACAGGCATTCTAATTCAATAGTAAGAAACATCAAACAGATTAGGTTTTCCCTTATTCACTGCAGATAGGAGACCCACACTGAGCAAATTCTATGGCTGTTAAAAAGATATCATATCGAACATTTAAGATCTCTGTCTTATTGTGAAAAGGATCAAAAGCTCAAATGCCATGTTTGTATGAGTGAGGCCCTCAGAGGGCACCCCCTATACTCTGTGGGACAGACTCTTTGAGTTAGTGGTCATTGACATTTTTTTCTTATATAATGAAATAATAGGTTCTATTTTCCTTTACCATCTCCAGTTTGCATTTTTGCTGTTCAGCTTTACAGTCTTTGAAAAACAGCTTCTTTAAAAGATAGGGTTGTACTCCCTTACTCAGTGGATTTTACATCTCCTGTCCCTCTGAATTTTCCATTACAATTTTTATTTCTGTTATTTGTCAATCTATCTCTCTTTCCCCACTT